TTTCTTCTTCGCACAGGTACTACCCTGTACGTACGATGTACTCATTACGTAGCAAATTACAAACACATTCGCAAGTACCTATATTTCCTTAGTTATAACGCACAAATGCAAATCAACCAAGGGCACTTTATCTAGCCTCGGTTGTTACCTTTCTTTCCTGCTCGGTTTACCGAAGCACTCTTATTTCTCCTGTGTCTTCTTATGCTAAATTAGGGATCGCGGGAGTCGGCCTTAAACGCAATTTAATTGCACGAATTATAATGAAATTAAGGTGCCGTTTAATCGTTGCGTTGTCTTCTCTTCTCGTCGCTTTCTTACAGTCCATCGCCTACCTTCGTTGTCCTTCCGGCTTCGTTCAATGCTACATCGTGTGATATTGCCCTAATTAAGGAATTAAGGTAGAGGTTTTCAACAAGACGGAGGTTGCGGCTGCGGCAAAATACGGCCACGGGACTGAAACGTTCCTCCAGCATCGCCGGCTGTAAGGGACTATACTCTAGCGGAGTGGCAGCTGTACGCTTGGCCATGTTCGTGTGACCACTAGCATAAGCTAGAACTGAGAGGACCTGTATAAGGCCTTACTAGGATGTAACTGCCCGTAGTGTACAGGCCTTCCGCGGGCATCAGTCGCACTAGTGTCATGGCTTCTACAGATGGGGTATGCACCAACGAGAAACGACAAGACATTCCTCGGAGGTGAACTATATCGTAACCAACTCGCTCTATGTATGCGGCTCGTTATCTGTGCATGTGTGCATAAGCTTATGTACGTGTACACTAGAATCTAGTACCGGCACTGGAAAGCTGGTGGAAGTGGATGGGTAACAATGCACCACCATTATCTTCAGCAAGAGAGAAGGTCTGAATGAATAAATGGCAACGCGAGAGACGACGGGTCCAAGCCGGATCAACCATAGCGAGTGGGAAGGCTTGGTAGAACCCATTAAACAGCCAGTAAGCAACAGAATGTAAACCTATTTGAACGACGCAGCACTTAAGAGCCGAGCGACAGAGCCAACTAACAGGGAGCTAGTGAAGAAGGGAGTCAGGAAGTAATGAAGCTGGCCTCCACAACAACAGGCCAACACAGCCAGACAAAGATAGGACGATACGCTTGTTTTGTGCCTGATTAGCACAGACGCTCGTGGACTACCGTATACCAGGGACGATACTGCACCGTGGCTAAATTGGATTAAAATAAAATGCATATCTTTCAAAAGTGTTATTATTATATTATTATGGTTATTATGAGAATCCAAAGTGAAGCGTGGTGGTAGTAGTAGTAGTAGTAGTTAGTCAGCGTGTCGCATCCTTTATAGGCTTTTCCACGAAACAATGCATGCACTATATTATAATGCTATAAGAGACTATTCCGGACACAGTCATGTACTGTTTATAGAGGAGCTGGTGTGAAGTTTCGGCACACTCGGTTCTATTTTCTTCTATGTGCACGTGATCTTCTGCTGTGTGCAATGAAGAAAATTTTATTGGTACAGTTGTCAGCATCGTACGGTTTAGGAAACGTAAAATTAATGGCGAATTTCATCAGTAACTTTTTATATATCCTATGTTCACCTTCGGCATTGAATGCACAGGATAATATGTGTTTAATTTAAGGAAATCACTTAATTGAACATCAATTATTGGTCCTTAATTATCTTTTTCTAAAAGCTGTTTGATTACGAATTTGTTTCTAAGTTCAATTGCACGATAAACATGTCTACGGTTTCTTTGACTCCAGCCAGGACGAAAACACCTTCTAAGAGTGTTTATTTCAGTCAAGAGCAACGACGGCGTAGCTAGCATGAAAGATGTATTTATTTAACATTTGGGAGAACGCCATGCGCTCTAAGCGTCTTGGCGTTACGAGAGACTATCTGCACCCTTTTTTCCACTGGCCATTTCTCACTGTCTTTTTTGTCGAGCACTCAATCAGCGTAATTAGATCCAAAGTCACTGAGTTGATTTCGCAATGTCGGAAGTGCGAGCACGCTTACAAATATTGCATTTTGTGCCACTCGTAGTCAACCTGTCACTTCGCTAGAAACGGCTGACTCTCTATTCTCGTGACGGATGAAGGATACGTCATCTGCATACACAAGCGTCTTGATCGTCAGCGACAGGCCCACGTTAATTTTTCCGTTACGCTGCTGCATAGAAGCAGGCTTTTAGCTATTCTGGGTAATAATAGCCTTACGCGGCCGGCAAAAATGGGGAGGGCTTCTCAAAAATCATGAGGGGAGAAAAAAGGATGTCACGGAAATAACGTATTTGCACCGTTTTCCTGTCCGTGATGTGGCGTAGTGAAGAAAAATGCTCCAAAAATGGCAAGAGGTTTTGAAGGATACTTCCTTTGCTGAAAATAAGCATCTAAATGCCAGATACACGATGCTACGCAACGCTCCCTAGTGTAACTCAATTATTCATTTCTCAATGGCGAAGGTGGCGGAAAACGGATAGCCGCACGGACAGAGAAGGTCTTCCGATTTAATAAGATATGGAAGAGCCGCAATGATCATGAAAGCTGTTGTCAATGTGTAGAATTCTTGCTAGGTTGCTGAGCACTGATCCTAATAGAAGTAAGATTGTGTAGACTTTAGCATCTTTCAGGTACAAGCGCAACTGAGCTATTATTTAATCGCTTCTCGTAAAACGAACCTCCACCAGAACTAAGAGCTTTCTTTTTTGCTTAAAATCGACGCCATTGCCGGTTCTCATAGAACTTCTGACGAATCCCAGTCAAAGATAACGCCTCTAGCATATGCAAACAATTTCGCTGAAATATCTGTTATCAATTCGGTAGTGTCTTCGAAACAAAAGATAAAGAAGCTTCCGATATATATATATATATATATATGCCTGTTTCTGAGCGGTAGTTGTGAATATATGCAGATGGGCAAATTTCACTGGTCGCGCTATTATAATCGAGAAATATATTAACGTGGGACAGTAATAAGCTTATAAGGAGTAAAATAAAATTGTGACGAGCCTAAAATGTTCATATACAAGAGCTACTATTAGCGAACACCTTTGATCTAAGTTGGCCCGTTTAATTGGGCCACTCTTTGCACCTACATATACTGTATTGATGGTTTTCCTTATTCTGGTATAGAAAGCTCATTTGCAAATTATTTACTTAGTATATTAGAAAAAGATATGACATTCTCTATCATCTGGCTTTGCCATTTCTTTTCCTAATGATGTTCATTGCTGATTTTTCAAGAAAAACTTAAACTTACCACAGGAAGAATCAGCACGAAGCAACGTACCTGTCTTCATCCACAGTCTGAGTGGGCGATCGACAATTACTATAATGTCTGAGTTCTGTAAATCTTCTACAACTTCATTGCAACTTTAACTTTAAGCTCGACTGATAATAATGATGCTTGCATATAGCTCAACAGGGTGATTCATTTTTTAAGCCTACCTTTCTAGATATAAATCTCGTTTCGTTCCGCTTATCTGAGACAGTAAGTTATAAAGGAGCCGGTCTGATTTGACATTTTGTCATCTTATTCGATAAGTTCAACTAACTGTAATTGTATCAAATGTCTACATGGCTAGATTTTTTTAGTATTATGAAAATAAACCTCTCACTTTATTCGAGCGGTCCGCGAGTGTCGATCGGATAATGACAAGATATTGACAGCTTCGTAGAGCGTCTCGTGCCTGATGTATGGCGAACACTCGTTCCTCTTCTGCGCTCTCGCGATAGGCTTAGCGTTGGCCGCGTACAATAGAGTTGAATCTAATTTGAAAGATGATCGATATGCGAGTGCGTGCTCTAGGCACGCCGAGTAAATAAAGTTGTTCATTCAAAATCGACTCCGAGCCCAGACCTTAGTCATCCATAGTTGATCTTTAGTGAGCGTATTCCAGCCATGGACCCATGGACCCCTATGTTTCAACATCTCTATAGAGCCGAAACAGGTCAAAAAACTTCTTCACTTACTGTGAGCTTCTTAGTCGTGTAGAATAAATCCCTCGGGAGAAAGAATAATATAGTCTTTACCCGCATCGTCACGTAGCTTGCCAAGAAGCTAGGGCTTCTTAGAAAGTAGACATTGTTGCAAGGTTCTGGCAGATTGGGTTTAATGTAATGGATTGCTCTAATAATGTTTGTGCACTATGGACACAAAGATAAAGGCGAACTTAAATACAAAAACAAACCATACGCATCTAATCGGAATCAGAATCTTCGCCGCTACGAAATTCTAGATGAGTAATGTAAGCAATAAAATTTTAACTAATTCAGGTTAACTAGGATTCATGCTACATCTAGCGGTCACGAGTCTGTCACGTTTTACCTATAGGAGACGATTTTACATAACTATAGGTGTTCTGTTTAAAACCTAGCTTTTATAAGCCCAATGGGAGCTTTAAAGCGACACCAGACTAGCTGTTTTCCCAGTGGAATATGCCGCTTTATTAATTTAAACAATACAATGCTTGTTACGAAATCTGAATCATTGATGCCAGATAAGGGCGTCAGTAATGCTTGTAATAACGAAATATTGAATTATCATTTTATATTTGTAACTAAAGAAGGAGGTTGACCTTTTCAAGATCCACAAATAAAAGATCCTCTCTCTAATCAGCTGAAATGAATGAAAGTGCTTAACCACTAATGTCGTATGCCTGTAAACATCCTGCGAGTGAACAATGACCTTTTGGATATTTAATCGAAACTCAGTCGATGTCAGTGACAGGTCTCTACGAAAGTGACTGCTGTTACTACGCCTACTCCCATATAGTTCTATATGAGTCTCATCTATGTAGGCAGTGGCTGCGATTACTAATCGATTTGTATTTATAGATGCATTGTAGACGTAAAGGAAATGCTTAGCTTGGCTCTGTTTGTCACAAATTCGTTTCAAAGTAATGTATATTTCTTTGTTAAATTAAACCTATCCTATAGTATATGTCGTTAGCCTCTGGTTTGATCAGATGAAGGTTTAGCCGTCCAACCCACTGCGTCGGGACTACAAGATGATGTTTGCGGTTTTCATCACAGGCTATTTTTCAGAATAACGATGTTATGCCGATCTGGCCGATTTATCGCAGTATCAGACCTGTTCGCCTAGAAGAATCATTGGGCTACGTGAGCTCTGTGTGCTCTATAGGAACTTGTTTATTACTGCAATAAGTCGGCGGTATGTACGACGATACCACCGCTCTCGTTGTTGACAATGGTTCGGGAATGTGCAAAGCGGGTTTCGCTGGAGACGACGCTCCGCGCTCAATTTTCCCATCCATCGTTGGCCACCCTCGTCACCAGGGAGTGATGATCGGTATGGGAATAAAAGACTCGTACGTTGGAAATGAAGCTCAATCTAAACGCGGTGTCCTCACTCTAAGGTATCCCATCGAGCATGGCGTCGTCACGAACTGGGATCACATGGAGAAGATTTGGCACCACACGTTCTACAATGAACTCCGAGTAATCACCGAAGATCATCCCGTGCTTCTTACCGAAACGCCTCTTAATCCTAAGATGAACCGCGAAAAAATGACACAGATAATGTTCGAAACGTTCAATACACCTGCAATATATGTTGCTATCCAAGCTGTCCTGTCGTTGTACGCATCGGGTCGTACAACCGGCGTCGTGCTTGATTCAGGGGACGGTGTGTCGCACACGGTACCCATCTACGAGGGATACGGGCTTCCCCATGCCATCATGCGTCTCGATTTCGCCGGTCGCGATCTTACCAACTATCTAATGAAGATTCTTACCGAACGTGGCTATTCCTTCACGACTACTGCCGAACGTGAGATCGTTCGCGACGTCAAAGAGAAGCTATGTTATGTGGCAGTTGATTTCGAAGAGGAAATGGCGAAAGCAGTCTCTTCACCATCAATAGAGAAATCCTATGAGCTTCCTGATGGACAGGTGATCACCATCGGAAACGAGCGTTTTCGCTGTCCGGAAGCGCTTTTCCAACCATCGTTTTTTGGAATGGAGGTATCCGGGATTCATCACACAGCTTATGCATCTATTATGAAATGCGACGTTGATATTCGCAAGGATCTGTACGCCAACACGGTCTTGTCCGGGGGAACAACGATGTACCCAGGAATCGCCGACCGTATGTATAAGGAGATTAGCAATCTGGCGCCATCTACGATGAAAATTAAAATCATTGCGCCTCCGGAGAGGAAATACTCGGTCTGGATTGGAGGGTCAATCCTGGCCTCGCTTTCAACATTCCAACAGATGTGGATCACGAAACAGGAATACGATGATTGCGGTCCCTCAATTGTCCACCAGAAATGCTTTTAGATTCGTTTAATATGACGGCTGGTATTGATTTGTCTGATATTGATGGATGGTATTGATCTGACGGCCACTATGGGCGAATAACTGATGAGACGTTAATAGTATCGACACCAGATACCATGAGCGCCGCAAACATCTAACAGCAACAGACCTCTTCTCTAATTTTTTTTTCTAGTTTATTTTATTTAAACAGTAAGCTACCGCTCCGTTTTTCACGTTCCATCGAAAATTTTTGACCTAAGGCATCGAACGATCATCCGGGTTACTAATCAGATCAATGTTTGATCGGTAAGCTTCACTATCGATTGATATCATCACATAAAGGTCTATTCACGTGTGCTATTTTAAGATTTTTAAAAAATTTTAGAGAAATTACTCGCCCATTCGTTAAATAAATATATATACGAAAATTTCTATTGTTCTTGCGTATTTAAGTGCTTCGGTACAAGATACTTCGTAGCGCTTTGTGTATAATAAGTTCGTTATCACTATATTTGAGAAACACCATTCTATTGTTCTTGCGTATTTAAGTGCTTCGGTACAAGATACTTCGTAGCGCTTTGTGTATAATAAGTTCGTTATCACTATATTTGAGAAACACCACAACTTCAAAATTAGAAGAACGATAGATTTATAGCTCCCATTAATTCCCAAAGCGAGAACAAAGAGCTTATGTGGGTTGCGGTCCAAACTACAATTTATTGTTAGAAAGAGCCTAAGTAACTCTAATTTTAAACTGTCTAAAGACACAAACCAGCGTATGCACGTTCGGTATGTTGTTGGCATTTCCTTAATTCTTACCTCATACCTAAATCCCGCATCAGTTGGCTCCGCGCTAACGAAACGAACCTTATGATATTAAAAAAATCTTTGTAGGACCTTTGACACAACCTTTTCCATCATAACAACGCCATGCAAAGTGTTCAGCAAGCTATATACACTCATAAAAGTTATTCACTGCATTGTTGGTCTTCGGCACAATTCTTATGTAGCAGAATCGCAGATAGTTGCAGCCGGTTTTTCCCGGACGATTCTCGTAGCATGCGTTATGACTTCCAAACGCGCATACAGATTTGTCGCACCGTACTACATGGTGCTGCTTCTGCCTATACTAATCTGGCTGTTCATACTATTGTTGGGTCTGTATTAGAAAAGTCTTTTCTCCGTCGCATCTACCCATTTAAGACTCTCGAGGTCAGGAAGCGTACAGGCGCGTCCGAAAGAACGCTTGGCCAAGTTCGTTCGGAAGGGGACGCGAGTGAAGGTCTACATTCTTCGTGACTTTTCTCTCTGTTCGTGTCACAGATCTGAACTAACTGTGGTTTGGGCCGGCGGGAACCAAATAAGAGCTGCCCGGAACAGCATCGGACTGCGTATGGTAGTGAACTGCACCGCAAGCAAAGTATGGTAAAATGGTAAGACGAATGAACCAAACGAAAAGGGTCGCAGTTCGTTGGTTGGTCTATGATACAAATGCTGTTAGTAACCCAACGTTCCTCCCCACCGACTACGCCCACCAGTCAAGGTCCTTTAAAAGAGCTGACTACTATGGCCTGCGTTTGGCGCCGTTTTCCCGTTCGACTATTACTATTACTGTTTCTATGGGCCACCGAGATCCGCCTCGAATGAGATGGTCGTGTAGGAAAGAAAAGGTCAGACACCAGCGACGCACGAACGAAGTCTATCTCTTCTTCATCGAAAAGTTTGCTGCTACTTCTAATGATGCCTCTGACTAAGTCTAACAGAAAAGCAACTCTCTAACTACATGCTGTTACTACTGCCGCTGCCGCGCACTGGTGGGCCACCTAGAGCAAACTGTTTAAAGGAGGAACTACCGCCAGTTGGTTAAGGAAAGATCGGTTGGCCGCATCGAGGCAAAGAGCATGCAGGCTTGGGGAGCCTGAGAAACATAATTTGAAATTGGAGCAAAAGGACCGAGAAAATCTAGCCAACAGCAAAGAAGGCTTCATTTCGAGTACCGAGTGATGCTAATAGTGACACAAGCAGAAGGCGAATAGGGTGCAGGTTGCAGACTTGAGCTTCAAAGACGGGTGAGCCTCTTTCAAAAGCATCTGCTCTAACATAGGGTTACCATAAACTTCTGATTCTTCCCGATTCTTCTATGTGAATGAGTCGGCCGAATGTAATAAAGGCACTAAACAGACCAACAAGCGGGAACAAAATGATAGGCCTTGTGTAGCGATAGACATCGTCACTGCTTATGTGGCTGATGTCACCATTGAATTTTGCCTGAATGTGCTACTAACTGAAAGGGGCAATTTTCTGGGATGAGCCTTAATTTCTAATAATAATAGAAGAACAGTGTAGTTCAGACTTCGATGACTTCTCAAATGAATATATTTATATCACACATAACATAACATAGTTAGGAGTTATGTATGTGTAAAATGAAATATATAGTGAAACGAAGTAAATGATCATTTATTAGATTGTAGTTGTTTATACGAAAGAGGAAGATAAGTAAGATGAGTCTGTCATAGTTTGTCTAAGTTTACTTTTAATGTAGAACGCTGGCCATGCAAGTTACGGAATATCTACGTTTGTCAGAGATCGAACAATATGCATATTCGGTGTAGATTCATATTAAAAGTCATCATTAAAGTATGACAAATCTGCGCCGACGGACGTTATCAGACAGCCACTGCAATATTAGTATTCGGGATTCTAGTTTAGGTAAAAACTACTGTTGCGGTATCTACCAAAATAGATCGAATATATATATATATATACTCTTTGAGCTCACACTAATATTTCTGTCGATAAAACCTGTTTGTCATCCTGAGTAATCCTTATAAGTTCTCCTTCTTATTATCATTATTAATTATTAAAGCCGCAAGTCAACACAGTAGCTAAATGAAAAAGATTAATAGTATTTTTGTTCATATTATTATTTCTGCTACTAATAATATAATCATTATATTTCTTTCGTTTCGGTATGAAAGATGCTGGTTCGGTGCTTGTATGGGAACGCATAGTAACGGGCGACAAAAACAGGACTTTCCGCATACGGGCCTTCACAGGCACCACTTAAAGTCACGTTAAGGGTTTAAATATTTAAGCAAAACTTTCATTTTATGAGTGCAATTAAGGGCACAGCTGTTGCGGCTTCTCGCTCGAACATTCTCCATCGTCGCATTAAGGGTTGTGGGCGTCGCTCACAGCAGCGCCTGGACGACCAGCAGGCCTGCCGGTCGGCCATAACGCAATGCTGATGTACACGGCAGCTAGCTGTCGCCTGCGACGCGCATGGCTGGCCTGCTAGCTATAGGGCACCGCGTTTCTCATTTCACAGATGAACTTAAGTCCACCATAGGCGATTGAAAATGACTTCCATTTTGACAGCGGTAGCCAGCGGCTGATGGGGGAAATGTTCTTCATGAGAAATAAGCATCACTCAGAGCGAAGCCGTATTGAGAGAACGACCCATCAAGCGCAAACGAAGTTCACTGCAAGCAGAACATTATTATTATTATTCGGAATGTAGTTTGATCTGTGTGCGTTCAAGTCTGCCCTGGACTTCGACGGCCAAAGTATTTGTTTGAGACGCCTGCGAGTCATCGAAAAGATGCGATTTCCATGGTTAGCAAATTGCCTATGCTTGGTTGAATAACAACCATATAGGCGTTTACGAACATAGAGTACCGAAGATGAATCACCGAAGCAGATATCTACGAAGTCAAAATCCCATATTCGCTAAGAGATTTCTTGCAAGCCTCAAATGCAGCAGAGGTAGTAATGGGCATCTTTTAATTATGCATCGAAATCGATTGAGCCTGGCATTGGTACTGCGGTTTGATACAGCAGACGATACGAAACATCCTCAGCAGCTTGATGTTCAGCTTGTCGACAGTAGTTAAGATAGTCCGTTAGATTAGGTCAGCTGAATATTGGGTGACGGTAGCAGTCCTCTCGGATGGGGGAGTCGGGTAGGCAGGGGGCTGAACATGACTGGTGTTAGGGTCAAAGGGAGCAGCTTGTAGAAATAGGTACACGACGCCGCCCTGGGAATCATGCCGGAACTCGGTCGTTGGCAAGGGCATGCAAATCGAACATTCAATGGCATAGCTGCGGAAGGACAGAGCTATCTAGCGGTGTCCTCGGTTGGACAAAGGCTGAATGTTCTGAATTGAAGGGAAAACTATATATACACACTTCAGAGATACAGTAATAATAATAACTTCTGAGACATGGTACATTTTTTTTCCATATATATGAATCAGTACAATTATGCGCTAGCTTTAACGGTACATTATCATAAATAGGCGTAACAAGTAGAATACCACAATGTACTGATTTTATTAAAGAATTATAATAGTATAATATATCTGGTGCTACTTGCTACGTTAAAGACTTACGCAATGTAGATAAGCGCTAGTGAATGGCTAGCCTTAACAAAAAGAACGAGCAGAGATGCACAGTGTTTCAGATGTAGCTATAATACCCGTGATACTCGTTTAGAGACTCACAAAGCAGACAACTGACCACTCAGATAAATTTTGAATCTATTAATGTTCTTTGTTTGCTACAGACGCCCAGTTAGCGCATATGATTTACGGTAGGTGTGCCACACGTGTCTAAAGGTACAGCCTAAATAGGCCTGACCACGGAAACTGTCTGTGGTATATTGTGACGGTTGTATATTTTTGATTCTAATTTGGCGGTAGGATGAGATACGGCATCGGCGAAAGAGATTGTTGGTTCACTAATAGGTCACTGACACCAGCAGCCTTCCAAAAAATCCTAGTATAGGTCGACTTTACTTCAGCGTAAAAGCAATGTGCTAACAATTAACTGAAGAGCTTTTCCATTGTCGTTAATGTGCCCAAATACAAAGCAAATGTCATTTTAGATAAACTATTAGCATCTGATCAGTTGTTACTAAAGGCAATTTTCATTTAAGTTCTAGTGGTCCAATGGTACAACTTATTTTCGGAATCTGGCTCGTTCTACGTTCGGAACGGCAAGAAGTGGAAATATCGTAATTTTGAACAAATATTAAATAACAGATATCTGTTCAGTGGCAGTTTTGCGTGTACAATCGAAATACGGACGAGAAAAGGGCCTATGGTCGCGGATGAAAGAAGTGATCCACATTATGATAATATACACCTAATAATACAGTGAAACAAACTATGGAGTCGTATATTCCGGGTGATTTAACTTTATGGTGGAATAATTTTAGTGTTTCGTTAAAACATACTCGTGAAAATTTTTACGGCCACAGCGCGGAACTCATCACAGGACTAAAAAAGCAATCCTTCCGACGATGTCTCGACGATGTGCGGTTTCGGCGTGTCCTAAGCGGCCTGGTTACTCTGTCCGCTCGGGCAGTGTATTCTCTTACCTTCTAATGAA